TCGTTGCACCAAACTCTTTTATGAAGGAGATCAAAGCAGTAATATTTCTAACATTGACCTATTTCAGACTCGAAAACACATAGCAGAACGACAGCGTCGTGCACGAATCAACAGTTACTTGGAGCAGCTAGAAAGACTGACATCCTTGGATCAGCAGTCGGTAGGTTACGTAGATTGAAATGTTGATAAGATTTTCCAGGTTTTATCAAACATATCACATTTCTTACCTAAAATGAGATGATTTGAACAGTTTCCGTCTTACTGACTGTTTTATTTCAATATGATTAAGCTATCACGAAAGACAACACGGATGGAGAAAAATTCTCTAGTCTTCTTGACCAACCTAAACCGTTGTCTTCTTTCTTTAAAGAGAATATACAAACCCAATAAGGTTCAAGATAATAAAAATTTCAAACTAGTTTCAAGAAACCAGACGTATCTAAGCATAGCTATGATAGCTGTCATAAAATCCGCTTGGAAGTCGAATTAAAGTACAACAAAATGTGTACTGAATGTTGTGAAAAATTTCACACACACACACACACACACACACACACACACACACACGAGTTCCGTATAATTTTCTTTTATTCATTTCTTGAGGATGATGGGAGGAAGGAGAAAGAACGCTCGAGCAATATTTACAAGACTGAAATCAAACAGTCAATAAAATGCAAAGAGCACGCGTCCCTCGGCACGAGTTTATCTTCTTCCTCAGTTGAGGAACGTGCACTTGTATCGAGTTATGTTTCACTTCGCCCCGGCGATGTATTTAAAACTCCTGGGATACAAATTAGTGTTATTGACGTTTTCTATAATGGACCACAAGGTTCACCTGTCACTTTACGTGTCTACTGGATTGCTCGATATTACGAGTACATGTAGAAGCAAAGTTACTATGGAAGAAAGCACGCTCTAAACACGAGCCACGTGATCGGTAAAGTGCATATAATTCATTTTTCTTTCTTCCTTCATTACGATGTCCTACAATGTGATTGCTCAAGCCTTTACGAACTTCTTGTATGCATACGTGTATGAAACGAAAAGAAGAAACAAATATTGATTTAGACCTGCCCATTTAGACTAAAACTGTATGGTTTTACAGCGTTTTTATGGTTCATGTTTCAGTTAATGTAAACAAAAAATATACTTGTTTTATATAAGATTCTCAGACATATCTTTTTACGTATTTTTTCTAGGTGGGTCCAGTGAAGCTAGAAAAAGCAGAGGTTTTGGAGAGGACGGTGAATTATCTAAAAACTTTGAAGCATTCACAAATCAATGGTAATATTATGTATTATTTAAAGCAGTGAGAGTTATTTGTTAAAAGTAAAAATCCGTTCTGACGTTTGTATGATTGTAGCCATTTGCTCACCCATTTCCCGCCCATACTTTATATTATAGGATCACTTTTCCGGTACTATTCGTTCCACCAGTATTGAATGCTTGTTAAGCAAATCCTTTGACATCGAACGTAAGGATAGCATTGGACCATAAAAGCTGTAATCCTCATCACGATCCTGTATACCTTTACAGAGTCAGTAAATATAAATTATCGTATAATTGTTTTTTATTGAAGAACAAACAATTGTGTCGAATAATATTATGGGATTTACAATTCAAAGAAGGGACTAATTGCAAGTGGACGGTTGTAATAAGAACATCGCTGGACAGATATTTCAAACACATAGACGACGGTCACTTTCGACTGCGCATGTCCCAGATGGGATCGAGGCAGATCTCTGAAGGTTCATATTCACTAATCCAGTTTAGCCTAACTATTGGAAAACTTTTTCCGGCTATTTTTTGCATCTGATATTGTGGATAGGAACACAATATGGCAGTAATTGATGTTTTTTTTCTTCTTTTTTGCAATTCCAAATAGTTTTCAAGGGTCTATTGATGGTGACTTTAAATGTTTTACACTTTATTTTATACTTTGGTTTATTCTATTTTTATCAGATATGTCTCGTGTCCAATATACGGCTGGATACTCCCAATGTATGCGGCTTTTGTTCCAGTATCTCGAAACATCTGATCTTCAGAGACAGCAAATACAAAGTCTATACAGCCACCTCACTCAGGTACTACAACAAAACACCTCCGCGTTGGGAAATAACCCCTTTGTACAGGGAAAATGTCAGAACATAATGACAATTAGTTCTTACATGAAGGACAACGGACATTATGTCGTGGAATCTTGTCCGATATCACAACAAGCTTACTCGTGTGAGAGCATGAGTTTAGAAGGGTTGACTCATATGAGTGACAATTGTAAAAGCTGTATCTCACAGGAGGACAACAAAAACAGAAACAATTCTGAAGTGTTTGAAGTACAGTCCTCATACGGCTCCAACGACAATGGCTCTCGTCAGACAGTACTTGATACTATGACCTGTAATCGACCGCAAGCTTTTCGAGACAATGAAAATATGAAATATCCAATGTGTTTCAAAGATGTCTCAGAAAAAGGGCGATGCTTGACAGAAATTAATGACGAGTCCTTTCAAAACATAAACAATAAATTGTCGGAAAGTTCTACTGTTACAGTGTTGCAGTTTCGAGAGATAAATGAGACTGATTACACCACCAGCCTCAGTTTTTCAAATAATTCAGAAAAAGAAAATCAGAACCCGTCTTCTGTATGGCGGCCTTGGTAAAGACATTTTGTTTCGGCAATGTCTTGTTGTATTTATGATTATTCCGATTTCATATTTTATTTTCAAATAAAATAAAGCTGCTGACTTAAGTTTACTTTTATTTTTTTTAATTTTTTTTTTACCAGTTTTGATGTACTATTTTAATTGTTTAAACATATTTTATTATCACAAAAGGATAAAATGTGTACACAAGATCTAACAACTTATATTAGTCCATTCCCTACATGATATATGCATTACATCATATTCAACATATTAATAATGAAAGATGATTTGAGAGAGCGGGGGGGGCATTAATACTAAGCTAAAGTTACACAAGATATCGAAAGTAACTTTCTCATCAAAAGAAATGCATAGTGGTTTCAAACCCACCGTCGGAATAAAAAAGAGGTGTCAACAATTTGAACACCGTAAAGATTAATCGGCTTAATTAGTTTCATTAACAAAGTTTACGGAGCTTGAGGCAAGAATTCAACTCTCATACAGATATTCATGCAAACGGCGTGTGATTATCTTTTGAAGGAAAAAAATCTCTTAGACCCAAAAATCTTACAAGCAGGAATAGTAAATATTGTGTCAATATATTGTTTTGACTACAGTTTTTATTGCGGAAAAGACTGCAATTTAATGAATGAAAAACGACATCGATACTAAGACAGTAGGTATACACAATGATTTAACATGATAAATAGTGACTTCTACACGAGTGTATGAAACGAGTTGAAAAATATACGGGAGACGAGTTGTTTGATTGACCCAGAATATTCACTGTTAATGGTGCCATAATGTCATATGGTACACACATTATTGCAGTACGAAATAATAGTAAGTAAGGTAATTATTCTATTATTATATCTACTTTTCCATAGCTTTTAAAACAGTCATACAATAAAAGACATTCATCTTGATATTTTTGTTTGGGCCGACTTATTACATCCTAAGTCAACGCGGTTTTATAACGTGTTCCATGGCCATTTGACAAAAAATTAGAGGTCAGATATGTTACGCAAACTTGACAGGTCATACTGGTATTTTTCCACAGCTTTAAGCCTAATTATTTTAGTTGGACTATACTTACTCTGATGTATTTTTCCTGGTGGAACCAAATTCTGACACAAGCAAGTGGAAGTTGTTTTCAAGTTCCGTTGACAAACATTTTATCTGAAATTTGATGGTAGCCGATAAACTTCGAAGTCGGTTTATGTATTTTTTTCTTGTGGAACCAAATTCTGACACAAGCAAATGGAAGTGTTTTGAAGTTCAGCTGAAAAAACATTTTATTTGAAATTTGATGGTAGCCGATGAACGCCGAAGTCGGTTTAAAATCAATGTTTTAATCATTTAAATTAATAATGTGCGCAAATACAGAATATTTACTTCGTATTAGACCACTGGCTTTTGCAAATATATTCATATACATAATTAACACCAGAAGGATTTAACCTATGTTTCAAAAGAACTGACAAACAATTTGGGAACGGAAGGAGGAAGCGCATCAACCAATCTTATTAAAAATCAGGTCACAATATCAGCATGAAGCAGATAAACATTAAATAACTTGAGAGATAATTTTGGAAAATTAAATAATTTGTTGTTAAGTTCAGTATATCTAAAATATTCATTGCGTATATTCCATATAATCTTCAGTGCATTGCTTGAAAGCAAATAATTAAATTTAGATGTATCTAGATGTCTATAATAGTATTTAATTGTATACTTGTAACACTGACATTCTAGTAGAAAAAATCTTGTTCTTTCACATTGCAAAAAATTACACGGTTTTTATTCGTATATCTTTTGTGGCTTAGAATCAGAAGCAAATCGTAATGAACAGAGATTTTATAAGAACGTAATGTTCGTGAAAATTGGACATAAGATATTAAAGTTATAAAGATTTTAAATAATATGTCTCATGCTTCCCAAACTGCACGTGTCCCTTGGAGTTCACGCATGACCGTCTGACAAATCCATCCAAAAATACTTGTCCCATGAAGCTGACGTCCGACCGTTTGACCAATCCATCGAAATACACGTGTCCTATGGAGCTCATCTCCGACCGTTTGACCAATCCATCCAAACACACGTATCCAACGGTTTTCCGGTGCGACCATTGGACGAATCAAATCAAACATATTTAACACCGTTAAATTAGTATTGTTGATGAAACAACAAACACTGGTTTATTTCAATCTAAATCAATTGCCTTATCACCAATGTAAGACATTTGCCCTTTAAAGCAACGTATGTCACGTGACCAATATTATGTTTACTTATACCGCTTCTTTAAGAATTATAACAAAGCAAAATAATCAAAAATCACATTTTGAAGAAATAAAAATCGCTCCTGTGAAATAGTGGTTAGTCCGCCTCTGATGCGGGAGGTCGCGGGTTCGAACCCCGGCTGAGTCATACCAAAGACTTACAAAAATGGTACTAACAGCTGCCTCGCTTGGCGCTCAGCAGTTAGGGGTTAATGATAGGACTGGTTGGCCTGGTGTTAGGACAATGTGACTGGGCTGGACATCATGCCACATGTCTGCGTCATGATGCCCCAGTGCTAGACATCACTATAAACTGTCACACTGCAGAATTCGTACCGATATTACTAAAAAATTGTTAAAGCTACGTTAAAAATCTAAAGCACACACACACACACACACACACACACATCAAAATCACATTTTGACGACATAATATTAAAAAAATGTTTGAAGAGGGAGTTAGATAGCACACGCAAACAAAGAATACTTGTTTATAAATGACGAATTTTTTTTAAATCTATGCGTTCTTGTAGCGAGGGACAGCTTTAAAAAAAAATAAAAAAGACTCGGGTTATACCGATACACAAGGCATCCCAAAGAAATATATTGTGAAGCCCAAAAGTAGTTACACGCATCAGGAATGAATGGTGTGTTCTACGAGTTACGATTTTTAAATATGATATAATGAACCTAAAAGGATTGTGCCAAAGACCATTGTAAAAAAAAAAAACAAAAACCAAAACGAAACATGTGTCGTTGTATGCAGTCGCTTTTAAGGGGAGTAAACCTAATATCCTCATATACGGTTTCTTTTTAAATAAATGTAGCTTTATACCCAGTTCGTGTGTTCATTGTGAAATGGAAACAATACATATTACGGTCATGTGATCACCTTTACCAAAAAAATTGGAAGATACCTCTAGAACGTATGAATGTTAGATACAATCAATCGATCGATCGATTAATCAATCAATCAATTAATCAAAATCGTAATAAGAATGTTAATAGCATCGTTGGTTGCTGGTCCTAAAATACATTTAGCATAATATTTCATTTCATGGAAGACATGTTTACATGGTATGAGAGTTTCTGTATACATGCATTTCATACTTTGAAGTCCATGCAGAGTTGTCTCTAATATTCATAAACAATCTTAATATGATCTTATAACAGACAGCATTGTTTATTTTGTCCCTCTGTTCTCTCTCTCTCTCTATTATATATATATATATAAATATATATATATATAAATATATATATATATATATATATATATATATATATATATATATATATATATATATATATATATATATATATATATATATATATATATATATTTAAATACAAATTAATAAGAATCTGCTCAGTGATAAAAGAAAGAGAGAGAGAGAGAGGAGGGACAGACAGACAGACAGTCTTCTTCCCGTAAATATCCATATTTGACATGAAATGTTGTTCTCTGAAATTAAAGGGGGGAGGAACAGGCGGGAAACTTCTGAGTAAACAAGAAACTAAACCTAGCGATATGGGGTCATAAATGCCAAGGGTTCAATTGAAATTGTACCGAATTTTAACGCCTAGGCATCGGTTGATACCGCGTTTGGCTTTGCCACGGGGTACACTTATTGTGTGAACCAGAATCATGGTGTCATGAGCCATTAGTCCGTGCATGAACACAGACGGAGAATCTAAGTTAATAAACACGTACTTTTCACTTTATCTACGACTTTTCACCCTGCCCACAAAATAATTATCCAGCATTCACTTTTTTTTTGTCGCCGAGCTTTAGAATTTTGTTATCTAATGAACCACTTTATGTGTCAATGGTTTTTGTAATAGAGCAAACCATTTTGTCGCACCTGAAAATGAAAATATTTTTTTGTACATCCATCAGTGGACAAATCAAATTCCACCAATTGCACAATGGTCAATTATTGGACAACATGTAATCAAGATGTGTCTGCATATGCTGCTGGCAGATTTAATTAATAGACTGTATACATTATCTGGGCATTATAAATAATAATTACACATTAACATATTCTAAGTTATTTTATGAATTATGATAGAATACAGTCAACATGCAATAAGCATGAAACAGCCAGATGTACATTAAATCTGCTACAATAAACTCAAAGTAGAACACATCTTCCTATATAGAATCCTAATGCCCTCAAAGAACAGTTTCTACAAATGCCTTAAATATGGTGTTTGATTCTTTTCTATCTATCTATCTATCTATCTATCTATCTATCTATCTATCTATCTATCTATCTATCTATCTATCTATCTATCTATCTATCTATCTATCTATCTATCTATCTATCTATCTATCTATCTATCTATCTATCTATCTATCTATCTCCCTCTCTCTCTCTCTCTCTCTCTCTCTCTCTCTCTCTCTCTCTCTCTCTCTCTATCTATCTATCTATCTATCTATCTATCTATATCTATATATATATATATATATATATATATATATATATATATATATATATATATATATATATATATATATATATATATATATATATATATATGCATGCAAGCACATACTTTAAAATGACATTTCTTTAAACGTGTTAGTATAAATCAATTTGAAATAGAAATAATGTTGATATATCATAATATGATTCGTCAGTGACGTGATAATATGTATCAACAAAGACGTTACAAGTGGGTTAGAGTCTAAGATTTGGCGAATATGGATAGGTGAGAAAGCTCGCCAGTAGCTTCTCGTGGGTCGGTGTTTTTTTCTCCGCAGATTTCCCGATTTCTTCCTCCACCATTAATACTGGCCGCCATGTATAGCCTATCGTGTGCTTAAAAATGGCGTTAAGCCCCAGAACAAGAAAAAGAACAACAACAACAACAACACACACACAGACACATACACACACACACACACACACACACACACACACACACACACACACACACACACACACACACACACACACCGCTTCCAGACTGACAAAAATTAACATCTTTGCCGTGCAGGAATCCGAATCATTACAACGGTTTGAGAGTTTTAAACAGTGTTGTCTGAAACCAGTGATATAATGTTGCAAAAAGCTGGTCTACAATGATACTCTATAATGTCACTGGATTGGTGGAACTTCAATAATGTAATCTGTATGTACTGGTATAAATTTTTTTGTTTAAAAATTAAACGGACAGGCACAAAGCTCCAAGGTTTCTAAACAGGCCATTTTAAAATCATATCAAGACCTAAAAGGTATGTGTGTGGTTGGGTGGGGTGGGGTGGGGTGGGGTGTGTTGATCATCCACCTCTTAATTTTACGTCCATAGTCTCTCTCTCTCTCTCTCTCTCTCTCTCTCTCTCTCTCTCTCTCTCTCTCTCTCTCTCTCTCTCTCTCTCTCTCTCTCTCTCTCTCTCTCTCTCTCTCTCTCTCTCTCTCTCTCTCTCTCTCTCTCTCTCTCTCTCTCTCTCTCTCTCTCTCTCTCTCTCTCTCTCTCTCTCTCTCTCTCTCTCATAATAAAACTGACAGTTTAGCCAGTACCTATAGCATGCTATATATAATGTTTTTATGCCGAGTTTAAAAAGGCATTTGATTAAGTTGAAAGAGAGACGCTATGGTACGTATTACTACCCAGTGATGTTTATGGTGGGATGCCACGTCTGCGATACAAAGACATCTGCAAGAAGGACATGAAAACGGTCAAGAACAGCGTCAACAACTGGGCTAACAATCACTACTAGTGGCGACTTGCTGTGAGACAAGGCATTCAGAAAGCCGTGGAAGGGATAAAACCAAACCTTGTTACAAAGAGAGCCAAGAGAAAGGCGAAACAACAACCAACAATATATATATATATATATATATATATATATATATATATATATATATATATATATATATATATATATATATATATATATATATATATATATATATATTCATCTGTAAAGACATAGCATCAAGATCAAACGACTGAATGCAAGCTTGGAGAAAGACAGGATTGTATGCTAAGTCAAAAGAAATTAAAAGACTTGTTGACTTGTTATACAGGCTTATGAAACTTTAATACCAATCAAGAAATTAGTAAGAAAGCTCGGATCTCAATCACCGAAAATTGTGTTCAAAATTGTTATATGTTCACATTCAGCCCATTCTCCTCTATTCATCTGAGTTATAGCGATGTAAACTTTGCAAGAGTAGAAAATCTGTAACGAATTCCATGAAAAGTTATGTACACTGTTTGCATCATGGAAGATATGTTTGATGTATGATGAGATGTGATTATCATTTTTAACGTAGCTTTAACAAGTTTTCAGTCATATCGCTACGATGTCTGCATTGTGGCAGTTTATAGTGATGTCTAGCACTGGGCATCATGCCGCAGACATATAGCATGATGTCCCAACCAGTCACATTATCCTGACACCAGGCCGACCATTCATAACACTAACTTCTTAATGCTGAGCGTTAAGCGGAGCAGCTGTTATAGTACCATTTTTGTAAGTCTTTGTTATAGTACCATTTTTGTAAGTCTTTAGTATGACCATACCGTGAATCGAACCCACGACCTCACACATCTTAGACGGACGCTCTTACCACTAGGCCAGCTATTTTTAGATTTTGTGCACGTTATAACACATACATACATACATACATACATACATACATACATACATACATACATACATACATACATACATACATACATACATACATACATACATACATACATACATACATACATACATACATATATATATATATATATATATATATATATATATATATATATATTTATATTTTTATATATATATTTATATTTTTATATATATATATATATATATATATATATATATATATATATATATATATAAATATATATATATATATATATATATATATATATATATATATATATATATATATATATATATATATATATATATATACTTACTGACTACGATCTTAGGTGTATAATACGTTGGTACAAATTGTTGCAGATGCCTAGTTCCATATATCCCATGCAATGCTACATGTTGGAAAGGGCACTGGAATGAGTGAGAGAGGATAACTTGGACATCTTATATTATTAGACAGCTGCTTTATACATATTGGTTTTTTTATGTGGATATCACAAGATATATGCCATCCTAATCTATTT